TGGCATCTTCTTTGGCACTTTGGGATCAGATAACCAGCATAAACCCCTTGGTGCCAGTTATAGTTCATGTATTGATCCACCAAAGCCCAAAATAAAGTTCTGTTTTTAATGTACTAGTGTCAAAAGATACATTGTAATGTTTGCAAGAATAAAAATATACCTTAGGAAGGCCCGCTTATGAGGAAGCAAGATGAGTTTGTACCTGAAAGAAGTTGCCATATATATAATATTTGATCTACTCATCTAATAATATTTGATATACTTGGTTAGATTTTGGTTTTAGAAATATCTCTCACATTTGGTGTGGAGGATAGATGAGACCTTGAGATTGGGGGTAAAGACCACTTAAGAACCAGTTGAGGTTTTCTCCAGGTGGGAAATGGGAAAGACAGTGAGATTTTGACTAAGGCAGAGGCGGGAAAAGAAGAGAACAGAAAAGAGAGGTATTCAGGCTATCAGATTTAGGAAGGAATGGAGAAGGAGAGAGAGAAGGAAGAATACAAGTTTGGAAGAGGAAGAAAGAAGAAGGGAGAGGGGAGGAAAAGAGAGGTTGAAGATGATTCTCAGCTCTCTATTAAATGGGGTGGATCTTAGGATTCTCAGAGGACTCTTCCATTTTTCCCGTATTACCTATCTGCAGAGCCACCTGAGTGGCAGCTGAGAAGGTGAGTCCTCTCTCCCCATGTTATTCTGTAAAATTGCCTCAATCTATACCTCCAGCAGAGCCAGTATATTCATTTTTTATTATTCCAAGCCTGGTTTGGTAATTGGAAGTACATAAAGCAGAGGGGACCTTCAAAAGGCTTGAGGAGTCACATCCAGGACAGACTTGGACTGAATTATAAATTTATTTGACTTTAGCTTCTCATCCAGTCCGTGAGGCACCTCTCCTCACCTGCATTTCTCACCTTACCTCACCACAAGCTTCTCCATCAAGGAGCTAAGTCACCGTGAAAAAGGTTCTGTGGAGAATTTGGGGTAATGGTAGAAAAGAGACTGACTCCATAGACTTTGGAGTCTGACTGATCTGGAACTGAACCTAAACTCTTGGACACAAGAACCCAGGCTTCAAAAGAAAGGACTGGACTGAAAATGATTATTTTGAGTCCCAGAGGTCCTAGGGAAGCCATGGAACTTGAGATTGCTCAAGGAGAGCAAGAAAAAATGGGAACTCTTTCTGCATCTATTTGCTTTGGATCCATTATGTTCAATAAGGCAATGCGAGAGCTTTGTCAGTGTGCAGACCACTTCACTGAGCAGGAATATCCATCATGCATCCCCTTCTAGTCTGTCATACTGTCACTATATCATTGGTGAGAGATTGGGAAAAAAGAATGCAGGAAATAAAAAGAGCCCAAGAGACCTATGGGACACCCATCAAGTGTGTGTTCCAATATACCAGTATTAATTATGGGTGTCCCAGAAGGAGGGAAAAGAAAGGGATAGAAAGAATCTTTTTAAATTGCCCCAAACTTCCCAAATGTGATGAAAAAACATTAATTTATATCTCCAACAAATTCCAGTACAGTCAAAGAGATCTATCCTTAGATACATCATAATCACACTGTTAAAAGACAAAAACGGAGGAAATTTTGAAAACAAAAAAACAATGCATCCCTTACAAGGAATCTTCAATAAAATTAACAGCTTATTTCTCATCAGAAACTATGGAAGCCAGAAGGCAGTGGGATGGCATATTCAAAGTGATAAAAGAAAAAAAAACTCATCCAAGAATTCTGTTTGTAGCAAAACTTTGCTTTAAAAATGAAGGGGAGCCCTAGTCAGGTATCTCAGTTGGTTGAAGCATTGTCCCCATGCACCAAGGTTGTGGGTTCAATCACTAGTCAGGACACAAGCAGGGATCAACCAATGAATGTGTGAATAAATGGAACAACAAATCAAAGTTTCTCTTTCCTTTCCTTTCTCTCTAAAACAAAAAAAAATCAATAAATTTAAAAAAAATGAAGGAGAAATTAAGACACTCTAATACAAGCAAGTCAAACTCAAAGGCTAGCACGGGTCAAATAAACAAAGTTTAAGTTTATGTGGGCCACAAAAAACAAAAGCTTCAATTTTCATAGAAACGTAGGTTTATTTCAATAGAGACATGCTGAATACAAAGGGCAGAAATAAATGAGTAATTGTTAACATAAAAAAAAGAACATTTTAATAAAATTAATATTTTTTCTTGAACATTAACTTACCAGACACTGAATAACTGCACAAATTAATAAATGTAATGCAAATAAACCTATTTGTCTTATTTTCCAAAAGGGAAATATTTCCTGTTGCACACACCAAACAAGTCAGTCCAAGACTAAGGTCGTGGCAATCGGCTGCTAAAATATTTGCTGCTAGTATTGGTGGAGAGAAATGGTGTGCCTGCGCATAAGACGTGTAAGGGAAATGAATGCAACATGATTATAGTAATCAGTCATTAGCGAACATTGTAGTTTGTTATTAATAATCCTATATAATAAAACCCCAACATGCAAATCGACTGAACAGTGGAACGACCAGTCGCTTTGACCACCAGGGGGCAGACATTCAATGCAGGAGCTGTCCCCTGGTGGTCAGTGCGCTCCCACAGGGGGAGTGCTGCCCAGCCAGAAGCAGGGCTCATGGCTGGCGAGAGCAGCGGCAGTGGCAGGAGCCTCTCCTGCCTCTGCTGTAGGCGGGTGGTAAGTAACGAGGGGTCCCGAACTGTGAGAGGGATGTCTGCCTGATGGCTTGGGCCCGATCCTCCTGGGGATCGGGCCTAAGCCAGCAGGCAGACATCCCCTGAGGGGTCCCAGACTGCGAGAGGGTGCAGGCCGGGTTGAGGGACCTCCCCCTCCCCCCACCAGTGCACAAATGTTGTGCACTGTGCCTCTAGTTTTGTATAACAAGATATTGTAAAAATTGAGTTATGAAATTTTTATTAAAACGTTTCTTACATACCGTTATATTTACTGGGCTGCAAAAATATTCATTGTGGGCCACATGCAGCCTGCGGGCCACGAGTTTGACATGCTTGCTCTAATATAAACAAGACTGAGAGAATTTGTTACTGAAAGACCTGCTATACAAAAAATGAATAAGGGAGTTCTTCAAACTGATGGAAATCAAAATTTCCATCAATGGGTGAATGGATCAATAAGATGTGATATAGCCATACAATGGGTTACTACTGATAAATGGAATAAAAATGACTAGAATAAGGATTTATGCTACTACATAGCTGAACCTTGATGCATTACACTAACTGAAAGAAGCCAGACACAAAAGGCCACATACTATATGATTCTGTATCTATAAAATGTCCAGAAAGGGCAAATTCATAGAAATATAAAGCGGATCAGTGATTTCCAGGTGTGAGGAAGGGAGTAATGAGGAGTGACTGCTAATGAGTATGGAGATTCTCTTTGGGGTGATGAAATGCTTTGGAATTAGAGAGTTATATAGTGGTGAAGATCACTCTCCTTTGTAAATATACTTTAAAAAAAAAACAAAAACCAACCCACTGGTATGTGAATTCTGTCTCACTAAAAAAATAACAGACGGCAAGTGCAACCCTTGGAGAGAATCACAGTAATATGACTTAGGGCCAGGTAGCTCCCTTTGGGACATCATTTCCTCATTTGGCCACTAGACACAATACCATCATCCCTGCAAGCTTGTGGCCAACTCAGTATATTTGTGGTCCTAAGTTCAGTGTCCTTCATCCTGATAGTGCCCTTAGTTGAATCTAAATCTTCCTTGTGCTCCATCAAATCTATTTTCATCCACGCCACCAAATGTTTCTCAGTTCTTTGGTTTGATTTGCTGTTTTATCCGTCCTTTCCATTCCAGAAAGAAAAAGTAACATCCACTGAGGATGTATGATGTTCCATGTTCTGGTCTGAAGTACCACATTTAATTTAGACCTCCAGACCATGCGCTGGGCTAGGCATGTTTATTTCCACTTTAAAGGAAAGGAAACGGAGGCTCAACTTCGAGAATTCTCTCTAAATCATGCCATTGAGAAGAGTGGGCATGTTAGATTTCAATGGGCCTCAGTTCAAAACTGCTTCTTAGAAAATTTTATGGGATCTCCCGTAAGTTTCCTCAGCCTTCTGAACTTCAGTCTCCTCATCTATAAGCCAGGGACAATAGAAGAACCTTTTTTAATGGACTAGTTTTGAAAATTAAGTGAGATACAGAAGATACACTTAGCACAGACCCTGAAATTCATGTTAGCTATTGTTACACTTATGCGAAGGTGGTTGGTGGCTAAATTTGGGTTAGGAGCTGGAGTGGTGGCATTCCAAAGCTTTCTCTCCCACTTCCCCAAGTTGCCTCTTCTCCTCTCTATCCCTGTCCAAGCTTCCTTATCAATTGACATGTAGAGTAAGTGGTGAAATGCAAGTCAGCAGGGAGCAGGTCCAAGAACAAATTATGAAAAGGCATACACATCCAGTTTCCCTCACACTTGTCAATCCCAGCATTTCCTTTATTCTGCGTGTGCACAAACACACACACACACACACACACACACACACACACACACACACACACTGCCACACACATTCTCGCACACATACACACATACAAAGCTTTCTTGCTATTTCTGAGTAACCAGCCTTAATAGCTTCATAGGAAAATGGATGCGGCTTGATCCAGAGTTTCACTGGAACAGCCCTCAAAAGTCTTACTCCCTTGACTTTCCATAATAACTCCAAGACACAATCACAAAGCTTGCACAAGCCTCCCCACTCCCTCTGTGTCTTCTTGTAAACCGGCTTCTGGCCTCTCCCAGACACATCTGGTCTCAGTGGAATGTGCTTATCAGTCTTACTCCAGGGGAATGAGGTCAAACAGCCTGGTGCCCTGGTGGCTGAGGCAGCTTGGACAAGCTTATGACGCGTCATCAACAAGTGGGCTGACACAAGATTTCAATTTTTTATCTTCTGGCAACTTCAATCAGATTCAGAATTCCTCCCCACATGTACCCACCCTTTTCTTTTTCCGCCTCGGTCCTACTTTCTTTTCTGATCAGTCTGTTAGCAAACATTGAGCATGAGCTCTCACTATGATCATTATTGACTGTTACTATAGCTCACTCACTGGTCCAGTTGGGCACCTTGGTACAGCTCAGCAAAAGGACTTGCATTCCTGGGAAACAGCATGGAGTGAGGAAGAGGGCTTCGGTGTTGGACAGACTTCACTTTGAACCCAGCTTTCTTCGCAGAAAATTTGAGTAAGGTCCTTCACGTAAACCTGTTTTCTTGTTTGTAAAAGGCAGCTAGCTCTTGGTATCCATTTAAACAGGATTTTGGTGAGAAATAAATGAAGTGATATAATAGATACCATGGTAATTAGTAACATTGTTGTGGCTCTCAGTTTGCCAAGAACTACCTGATAGCCCATTTTCAAGCATGCTTTGCATGCAAATTGTTACATGGTTGTTAAAAAATTAATTCTGGGTTGTCTAAATCTCAAAAGTAGACACACCCTTTATATAGACACTCAACTTACAGAACTTGAATCTAAAGAAATAATCATGGATGTGGCATAAAGATTTAGCCACATTTTGCCCTGGCCGGGTAGCTCAGTTGGTTAGAGCATCTTCCCGATATGCCAAGATTGCACATTCAGTCTCTAGTCAGGGCACATACAAGGAGCAACAAATGAATGCATAAATAAGTGGAACAACAATTCCTCTCCTCCCCTCCCCTCCCCTCCCCTCCCCTCCCCTCCCCTCTCCTCTCCTCTCCTCTCTCTCTCTCTTGGCAATTTAGCAATTAAAAAAAAAAAAGATTCAGCTACAAAAATGACCATTATTGAAAAACTGGAAAAAAACTAAAACATGAAAAATGAGTTTTTATGTAGATAATTGGACTCTAATTCAGTGGACATCTAGCAGCCCTTTAAATGTGGTAAAAGAATGAGAATGACACGAAAAGATGTTTACAATGTGTAGAGTTGAATGTATATTTTAAGTTGTAAAAAGCTGTTGCAAAATAACATATAGAACATGGTACTGATTTGATTTGAAGGATGGGCTAGAGAGGACATCTGAGTGCATAGAGAAAAGGCTAATCACTAAAATGTTCAAAGTGAGTAGTCTTGCTGTAATTTTTTCTTTTTCTATTCTACACTTTCTAAAATTTTATAACAAAAATATTTAGGAATAAAGTAAATTTTTTCTGATAAATTTTATTGAAGCAGAATATACATACAGAAAAGTTGTACAAATCCTAGTACAGTTTGATGAATTTTGTTAAAGTGAACACACCTGTGTAATTCTCACTCAGATTATAAAACTTACCAGCACCCCAGAAGCCACCCTTTTGTCCAGTTCCAGCCATTACCCCCCCCCCCAAAAGATCACCACTATTAGATTTCTAACAGTGTAGACTAGTTTTGTTTGATTTTAAGCCCTTAACAATTAGAATTATGTTATTACTTGCTTTTGGCATTATAAGTAGCACTGCTAGGAACATTCTTATTCTGTCTTTAATGAACTATGTACACATGGAATTGCTAGTCATAGAAAAGGTATGTGTACAGTTTCGTCGATACTATCAAAGTTTTCCAAAATAGTTGTCCTAATATGCACTTCCACTAACAGGTAAGAATTCTGGTGACTCAATTCCAGTTACTTGTCAACCTTTGGTATTGTCCGGTGTTTTCCTTTTGGCCATTTTTAGTGGCATCACATTGGGGTTTTAATTTATGTTTCCCAAATACAGTGAAGTTTAACACCTTTTCAAGTGTTTATTAGCCATTTGGACACTGCTTTTTGTGAAATGCCTGTTTAAGTCCTTTGTGCATTTTTTATTGGGCTACCTGCTCTTTTCTTACTGACTTGTAAGAATTCATATATTCTGTATTCAAGTCATATCAGATGCATGTATTGCAAGTATCTTTTCCCATTGTGTGCACTTGATTTTTCCCCCCAAGCTCTTACTGATGTCTTTTGATAAAAGAAGGTCTGAATGTCGATGTCCTACAGGTCAAGAGGATCTTGGCTGTGTCCACTGGCAAATTGAGCACCTGATTGTGTCACTTAACACGCCACTCGGAGGCCGGGAAGGTAAACCCATACTCAGAATAAGTACTTATCTCTGTGAGGATGGCAGACGGGCCAATAGCACTATTACCCCGCACAGTACTACTTTTGTTATTTGGGCTCCTTGAGAAAGAGATGCCAAGATGGGATTAAATGTGCAACGATGTTCATTTAGGAAAACATAAAAGGAGCTATAAAATCCTGGGGAGCCATCAGACTACAGATGCAGTAGATCCCAAGTGAGGGAGGAAAGTTTGGGGAAAAGCATCCTATACTGCCATGCAGTCTATGGGAGATTCCACAGGACCGCTGGGGAGTCTTTGAGCCAAAGTCAGTTGTCTGAGTTGTCCCACCTCACCCAGGGATGGATCTGCCTCAGTATATGTGCCACACTCGGTCACTGCTGGGAGCAGCCCGTAGGAAGCAGGGTCTCAGTGCAAAGATAGTGATGAATTCAGAGCACAGAAGCGGGGCCCTTGGTCACTACACTCCCCTTAGTTACAGTTCTGCTAGGTTTTCTCACCAAGACGGGGAATATGCAGGGAGGAGAAAGTTGTAAATGGGGAAGCTGGCTAATAGGTTCACTTTCTGGAAACACTGAGTTTTATAACATTGTTTCCGCTTAGATATCTGGCGACAGCAAAATATTCAGATGTAAAATTCAAGAGTGGGTCTAGGTTGCTTAGGACATTAGTGGGTGACCCCTTGAAGGGCTCTGTGAGAAAAGGAATCTCACAAAGGAGACAGAACAGTACGAGGGAGCCCTGGGATTTCAGTGACTTCCTGCTCTTTTTGCATAAATAGCTTAGCTGAGGAGGTGGAGAGCAGAAACAGAGAGAAAGAGGCCTTGTGTGGTAGACCCTCGGGCCATTCCCAGACTTAGGGCCCCTCATTACTAAAACACTTCCCTGCCATGGCAGTCCAAGATGGCTGACACATTTCAGCTACATTGGTCTCAGCAGAACAAATTGTTTTTCCTACCCTGAAACTGAATGTGGCCCAAAGTACTTTGTATCATAATTTCAACAAGAAATTTTAGAGGGAAGCCAATGTGCATTCATTATGCACGTGAGTGAGCCTGCTCACATGCTTGTACACACACACACACACACACACACACACACACACACACACACACGGCAAAGGATGTGAGCAGTCAGATGTGGTCAATCACAGAATTCACGCTCCACAATCTAGGAGACAGCACGTGGGTCCATGAGTCAGGGTTAAACACCATAGCGACCAAGTTAATGAAGCTTGCCGAGTCAGGCAGCAATTTCTGCTTAATGGAGCCCTTAGGTCTCAATAATTGCTTTGAAATTCACACATCAGCATGCAGTTCTCATAACTAAGGAAGCCAGAAATCCAAGGGTGAGGGCAGAACAGACCGCCTTGCCTATGCCCATTCAAGATGCAAAAAGGACCCAGGGTTCTGCCTCCTTCTCAGCACCTGCAAATGTGCATACGAATCTCTCTTTATCATTCTGTCCACCTCCAATGCTCACCTCCAGGAGTTTCACAGTAGATTGGTCTGGTGTGTGAACCTGGGCAAGACGTGGATCTTGAATTAAAATTCTGTATTTGATAACAGAGCTATTACTGACCAACTAGAAAAAGGTGTCCCTTCCTCAAGGCACGTTTCTTCTATATGTCTCAAAATTGTTACAAGATACTAATTTTGCTAAACAATTTATAGGTATCTTCTAGAATAACTGCTGTAATAAATACACAAACTAATAACGTCTACTTTATTAGTGGAAGATGTGGTAGTATATAACCTAGACAACAGTACATGGCAGCCACCTCAGCTCAGTACCCAGGAATTGTCCTTCTTCTGCCCTTTTCTACACGGTTGAATTTAATACTGCATTTATCTGGCTGCTATTTGTTAGGAAAACAGCTATTCCAATGGGCTAGGGTTTGTGCCAGGGATTTTACAGCTGTAGGCACTCGTGATCTTTCTAGAATGACAGGCACAGCCCTTGGGACAGAGAGGAGGCAAAGACTTCCTGCACGGGAGACACTCAAGAAACCTCAGCAACCTTGGAGAGCAAAGCAGCAGGAGTTAGGATGTGTTCCGAGCAGCCTACAGCACTGTGCCCCAGATGTTCGCAGCCTGGAACCTTCTCTGTGCCCGGCTTTCCCCCTTGGCCACTGTTTTTCTGGCTCCTCCCAACCCTCTGCACTCCACTTCTTACTCCCGGGGTCCCTCTGCAGCAGCAAATGCGGCTGCTTGAACAGAGAGGTCACTGATTGGGGAACAGTGGAACTCAGCAATGAGAACAAGCGCTCTGCTTTGCTCCGCAGGGCCAGAGGGTGGGCTGTGCCCAGCCTGGCCAGAGAGTGTCCAGTGACAGATGCCTCTCACAGATCAGAAGCCCCAGGCACAGTGTTGGAAACTCTGCTCCAGAAGCCTGGTTCAGAGTTTTAATTATTTTTTTTTCCCCTGTTTAAAAGTAGTACAAAACCATTATGGAAAAATACCAAAAAGAATAAAGAGGAAAAGAAAATTTTCTTAATCTCATTAACCAGAAATAAGTTGTGTGGTTTTTTAATTATTTCTGGTTACAGAAATAATACATATAACCATTCTGTATGTGTATATATATATATGAAAATTTTAAATTTACCAGTTGTGTAATCACAACTGTCGAGAACAGTCTAATTTTTTTCAGGTGCCTTAGAAAAACTGGCAAACCCCTTTTCATATAAGTTTCATTAATGTACATTCCTACCTGCAGTAGCCATGTCACCCTCTTCCTTCACCAAAGTGAGTATTATCATTAAAAAAACAAAAAACTTGCTAATCTAAAAGACGAAAAAACGGCCTCAAACTACCAACATTGCTTTTGAAAAGCATCCTCGCGGAAAAACCTAACTGAAGCTGTAGCTGTCTCCAGGCATGATTATGGATTCAGTAGGGGACCTCCAGCCTCTGGCCTCATCACAGATTTCCACTGTCACCTGAAATGAATTTAGCTTGGAATACAGCATAAGAAAAGGCAGCTGTTAGGGTTGTGAGGACCATAGATGCTGGGTATCCTACTGGCCAAAGCTTTGGCCACAGTGGATGCCAGATTTCTGGGGCAGCTCTGATTACACATATTCTGGTCATCATCCCACAGGCACACGCATGTTTGTCAGACCTTGTGTCCCCAAATGGGGTGTAGCAAATGTGGCCGCAAATCTCATCACACTTGCATTTCTTAGGCACACAGTCCCTAGCCAGGAGCAGCAGGGCCAGCAACGGAGGACAATCAATATGTTCCGATGAATCGAAGGATGGCTAGAACCAGAGCCTTGTGTCTGCTAGTTGAGAGGCAAGTGCCTCCTGAAGGAAGATCCCAGGACTGTGAATTCCCCCTTCCTGGAGGTTTGGAATTCTCCAGGGCTCAGGAGCCTCTTTGATAAGGCCTCACACCAAGAGAGAGTTCATGTGATATTTAAGCTGCAGGCCTCCCTTTCTGCCCAGCACTCAGGCTCCTGCCCTCTTATCTGACATTTCCTGCCATTCCTGCCCTGGACATTCTCATGGGCTCATAGCCCACCCTTTGCTTGCTGGCCCTGCTTCCAGCATGTGACAGCCTCTCTAGTTCCCTGCCTGCCTTTCTCACTCCAACCTGATAGATTTCAGGCCTTCCCTCGGGCCTTTGGGAATTAATATAAGTAGGAAAACACCAGCTTTCTTCCCACACCTCAGGTTAACTTGAACCCTTTAGGCCAAGGCCCACCAGAGGCCCTTCAGTAAAGGCTCAGCTTTCCTAAGACAATGGCTGTATGTCAGTCCCTTGCAAATTATACATGTAGTGACCACATTGTCCAAACAAAGCCAATCGGGACGTTAAGGAGGGTATCTCTGATTGTACTATTTTGGAAAGTAGTACATTTTTTTTTTTTACAAGGGTAAGAAATTATTTAGCAAGTTGCTTTCTGTGGGGGAGGATCACTTACAAATAAGATATAAGAAAAAAATCTCAAAATATTAAACTTTGTCTTTCTGGGAACTTCTTGACCTTTTGCTTAATCAGCAAAGTCACCCATGTTGCCTTAAGAAGTAAAGGTTTTGAGGGGATGGGTTCATAGAGCATTAAATATTAACCCTTATAAGTGATGGTACGATGGTGGCTCCATCCAGAATGCCTCATAAGAGTATTCAGTGGGGAATGTGCAGCATGTTATCTTCAGTATGTGTATCTCCCTTTACTGGATTTTCTAGGCGTTGGGATGTCACCTCCATACGTACTATGGCCACAGCCAATGTGGAACTAGATCTACATCCCAAGCAAGTGACTTAAAGACATTTAGAATGAACTGGCTCTAAAATAAAAAATAAAAAAGAAAATAAATAAATAATAATAATGATAATTTAAAAAGAATGAACTGGCTCTGAATTTCAAAACAACCTATACAAATACTCAGACACCAAAAGGGAATACTTTCATTGGGCTCTCTGAGTTTTCTTGATCTTTTTGTTCTATTTCCACTTAAAATTATTATTTAATGAAAGGTCGAAGCCAACTCCACTGTAACAAATCATATTTCTCTATCACCTATGGTACATGCTGAATCTTTGTTGATTATCATAGTGCTTGACCCAGAGTGGGTAATTATCAAATGAACGAATAAATAGTTGAATGAATAAACAGATGAATATCACATGAAACACATTTGAAGGGACTGGAAATTTTAGATTGGAGAACACTTAGCTAAAACTTGGTAGTTTCTTCGGATATTTGAAGGATTTTGTTTGTTTGTTTGTTTTGGTTTTTTTTGGAAGATTCAATGGTTTTATGAGGCAAATGCAGGCAGAACCAAGACATTGCACAAAGGTTCATTTCAATCCAACAAATACAGAGGACCTACTACCTGCCACATTCGGCCCATTTTGAAAATAGAATCACCAAACAGTACAATCCTGTGCTCCTGCTTTGGGTCAATGGGGACCTATGGCAGTGAGGGGATTTCTAGAGAGAATGCAATCTTGTTGGTAAATGGGGACTTAGAACTTACCTAGAAGCTGAGTT